CACCTCTCCTAATGATTTTGTATCTCAAAAGGAAAAAATAATAATTTTAAAATAACTTTTTAAATATATACTTATATTATGAGAAGGTCCCTAAAATAACTTTTGTCTAAAGTCACAAATGTTCTTGAGATAGTTTTACCGTAGCTTGTATTTTTGGCTTTGAGCTCAAGCCACAATTCAACAACCCCATCTAGCCACCTCACTACAAAACTTTGGGGGCCCTAGATGGAACCTTATGGTCACAATATTTTACGCCCTACTGTTTACAATCCAATACGATGCACATTTAGCTGTATAATCAGACAAAAGTGGACTTAATATCCCGGCGTCATTATTACATTTGCTGCCTCTAGTTTTATACATGAGGTGATTTTTTATCATATCTTACGTGTGCTTCCTACCTGAGAAGTGACATGGTTTTTTGTGCTACAAGGGTAAGTGTAGCTGTTGAGATTTTCATTAAGAACTTAGCCATCCCGTGGTAGTTGCCCTAGGCGGTTTCAAGGCCGTTGGTGGTGGTGACTGTTATTTGGTGGTTGATGGTGGTGGTGGTGGTGGTTGCTCGAGGGTCACTCTTCCAAATCAATCGAGGTGCCTTCGCATGCTGGATTTGGCGATGATGGTTATCAAAATTTCGGTGACAAGGGAATGCCTTACCATTCTCCACTCAACATGATCGATGGAATGTCTTCGTTGGAGGGCCGTCCATCCAAATCTTTTGATATACCATCACATACTGGATTTGGCAACAATAGTTATCGACATTTTGAGCCTACCACCTCTGGTTCACACATGCAGTTTGGATCACCTTATAGTAGGAACACCTTGGCTAGCTTTCCTGACGATATAGGGTGGACGTACGGCACAAACAATAATGACCCTTATTCAACTCATAGATTTCATGGTGGTTCCAATTTGGGGGAACAGTTTCGACTTTATGAGCAAGAACTGGAGTCATCTTCCCTTGGATATGGTCAGATGGGAGCATTTCCGTCTCCTACTTATGGGCATTTAGGTTCAATACCTAAGGCATCTTACAGGATGAATTTGTCAGCCATGGACCGATACAGAACTCCATTTGATGACTCAAATCACCAAAGCACAAGTGTTTTGATGTAAGAACTATTGGAGTTAGCGACCACTTCAACAATAGAGGTCGCAGCTCGAGGTCGTAACTCGATAGCTCGAGGTCATACCTCAAAGTCGCTGCTAATCTGCGTGACGCACACATGAGTGCTGCTCTTTGGTTCGTGCATGTGTTCTTTTTTTTTACTAGCTCGATATTTGTGTGTGGCTATTTGTTTCTCTGTTTCCAAACGCTCTTCAGTTCTTTCAATCCACCCATGTTACCTAGAACAAGCTTTAATGATGCTAGAGCACCATCCCATACAGGATTCCCATTTGGCATTGTTTTTGCTTCTGGTCCTTACCAACTGAGTACTCGAGGTTTGTTGGATCCGTGATTCAGATCTTTTGCTGACCGACTCCTCTGAGCTACGATCTACTAGGATTTAACAGTTAGTTAATTTGTAGGGAAATGCTATGTTATTAGGGCTGTGAAAGTATTAGTATTAATGTATCCTGGATTCTGATAGATGGTTGCTGCAACCACAGAGAAAATTAAACTTATATATTATATGCTCTCGCTTACCTAGAATGATGATCATATTTACACAAAAAATAAAAGGTATATGGAATAGTGTTTAAATGTTTAGTTATTTTTGAAATATTTGAGATCACTAAAGTACTAAACATTCATGCCATCGGAAGTGCTTTTGGGTGATCTGGGCTTGAAACGGGCCATTCTTAATTTATTTTCACAAGTTGTACAGAGAAATTAATGATAATTAATTCACGACTCTAACCACTTCAATGGCCATCATTTATTGAACCACAATTCCACCATCTCAAAATTTATGTAATGAATGTGACCTCTTCTTTCGGCTAATCCAAACAATAATTCATCAAGTATGAATGAGTAGAGATCTGCACAAACATAGAGAGAGGAGCTACAAACTACAAACTACAAAGAGAAGAGCCACAAAGAGATGGAAGGAGAGATCAAGAACTTAACCAAGGTATGGATTCTAGCCATTACTTGTTTGAGCTACTGTTATCTAATAACATCAAGAATCCCAAAGGGTTTTTGAAGGCTCATCTCCCTCCTCCCAATCTTCTACCTCTTCATCACTCTCCCTTTAAGCCTCTCCTCCTTCCATCTCACTGTCGTCACCTATTTCTTTCTCATATGGCTTGCCAACTTCAAACTCCTCCTCTTTGCCTTTGGTCAAGGCCCCTTATCTCAACCCAATAAACTCTTCCATTTCGTCTTGGTAGCTTCTCTTCCCATCAAAATAAAACCAAACCCACCTCCCAAATCCAAAAATGACAAAAACCCATCTCCCCAAATCTCCAATCCAATCCAAAAATCACATAAAGTTTCTAACTCTATCAAACTAGTCATCAAAATTGTACTTCTAGTTATGTTACTTCTAGTCTATGACTATAGGAAATATTTATATCACCATGTGATTTTAGCGCTTTATTGTTGCCACTTGTACATTGAACTTGAAATTGTCCTGGCAATTTGTGCCACCCCAGCTCATATTTTTGGCTTTGAGCTTGAGCCACAGTTCAATGAGCCCTATCTAGCCACCTCACTACAAGACTTTTGGGGCCGTAGATGGAACCTAATGGTCACGAATACTCTATGCCCTATTGTAAACGTTCCTGTACAACATATATCTACTCTTGTAGTCGGACAACAACGGGCCCAGTTGCTAGGTGTCGTTGCCACATTCGTTGTCTCAGGTCTCATGCATGAGGCGCTTTATTATTATCTCACATGCATTTCTCCCACATGGGAGGTCACTGGGTTTTTCGTCGTACAAGGAGTGTGTGTAGCTGCTGAGATTTTGGTTAAGAAAGGCTTGCTGACCGGCGGCAATTGCCCTCGATGGTTTCAGGGCTGTTGACGATGGTGTTCGTGGCGGTGATTGGTGTTTGGTTGTTTTTTCCTCAACTATTAAGAAGCAATTCGGATGAAAAGGCCCTAGGGGAGTTATCAGTTTTGGTAGATTGTATCAAAAGAGTGCTAAGAATTGATAAATTAACAATTAATTAGAGTAAAGTTTAAGTGAAAATGAAACCGATTATTGAGTGTATTGTAAGGATTCTTAAGTTCGTGCAACAGGAATAAGTTAGAGTCCATAAATGTAATTACTCATAATGAGTGATTAGTGCTCGATTTGGTGCAATTTCTTTCCTTTTCTTCAGCTAACAAGTTCATCATCTTACGACAAAAATATTGGTTAATGATATTTTTGATTTTCTAAATGTGAAAGTGTGTATACGTACAACTCATTTATTCTGAATCCAATTCTGTTTTCATAAAATATATGTATATCATCTCAACCCATTAGCGAATAACCTATATTTTCTAAAGAAGAGATGTTATATTTATTTCTCATGTTTAGTGGATTAGTATAATCCTTCTATTATTTACAATGTTTTAAACCCGATCTGGCCTGGTCGGTTTAATCGGTTCGACTGGCAAATGTCCACTGAGTCGAGCTGGGCTGGTTTTAAAATAGAGGGTCTAAGTTCACTTAGTATGACCCGCGGTTAGACTGAGGTCACTGTAGCAAACCGTTGGTCCAATCGTTTTTGAGGAAAAACCAAGTGAATCAAAACTCAGATCACGACGACTTTCGGCCGGCGTTTGGTAGGTAAACATAAATCGGGGTTATGCGGTTTTGAAGGGTTGATCACGATGAGTCAGGAGGTGGTTTCCAATTAAGTTTTAGTTGTCGGAATTTGGCCAAGATCAGGCAAAAACCTAGCTTCTGATTGCCAACGATTGGTGGGTGGATTGGCTTGGAAACTTTGGGGGTTTTGTAGAAAACTAGCCAATGAGTCTAAGGGTGGTGGTGGTGGTTGGAGTTTTCCTCTCTCGAAACAGTCGGAAACCAGCAAATGGAAGTCGATTGACACCGTTGCCATGGTCCACGATCGGTGAGTGATGAGAGGAGATAAAGGGTATAGTTTCGAAGAGGAGAGTGTGGGGGTTCTGGTGGTGGTGACAGGGGTGATTTTGGGTGAGAAAACAGTTGGAAAAAGGGGAAAAAAGACGGACATTGACGCATGCTAACATGCATCGGAAACAATCACCATGCTAATGTGTGTTGATACAAAAAATTTGAATTTTTTTTTTTAGGTGACACGTCTTGGTTTTACCCACCGGTCAAATCGATTAAACTGGTTAACTGAGACCCAACCATTTTGCCAGGTTTAGCCCCGTATTGGTTTTTAAAACAGTGATTATTTACATAAAAAAAATCGAATTAAATGAGTGTGATATTGACAAGTATGACTTTATATATCTTATGTTACAAACCTATAAAAGTTTCAATATTATTGTATTTTCACCAAGTCCTAACGCTCATCTATATTATTATATTCTTGTAAGTAACGCTCATCTATATTCACGTTATTCTATTGTTAAGTTTAGGTCTAAAAGAATCATATTGAAAGTTATACGTTGTATTATGCATTTTGATTTTTTGTTTTGGAGAATTTTATTGGCCAAAATATGGTTAGTGTTGAATCAAAATTAATAAAATAGAGGAACGAAAGTCACTTAATTAATTTTCATGCCTTTGTTAAGTTCCACTTTTCATGCCATTTCGCATAAAAAGTCATGTTAGGGTGCAATCTTCAAACATAGCAATTATAAACCTCTCCTACTGCAATCCATGATTTGATTACATTGTAGTATTTATTACAGTAAAAAAAATAGTACGGCTTTACTTTAGCCAAATATTATGGCAATTAGTCATTGACTTGGTAGTGCATCATCTAAAATGTAATTTAAATGTGATATGCTGAAATGTAAATTTTGGCTATTTATAGTGATAAACCATCAAACATGAAAACTAAGAGAGATTTAGACAAACTATAGAGAGTGAAGCTACAAAGAGATGAAGAGCAATAACAAAGAGATGGGAGATGAAATCAAGAACTTACTGAAGGTATGGATTCTAGCCATTACATGTTTGAGCTATTGTTATCACCTAACTTCAAGAATCCCGAAGGGTCTCTTAAGGCTCATCTCCCTCCTCCCAATCTTTTACCTTTTCATCGCTCTCCCTTTAAGCCTCTCCTCTTTGCTTCTCACTGGCGTCACCTCTTTCTTTCTCACATGGCTTGCCAACTTCAAACTCCTACTCTTTGCCTTTGGTCAAGGCCCCTTATCTCAACCCAATAAACTCTTCCATTTCGTCTTGGTAGCTTCTCTTCCCATCAAAATAAAACCAAACCCACCTCCCAAATCCAAAAATGACAGGAACCCATCTTCCCAAATCTCCAATCCAATCCAAAAATCACATCAAGTTTCTAACTCTATCAAACTAGTCATCAAAATTATACTTCGAGTTATGTTATTTCTAGTATATGACTATAGGCAACATATACATCACTATGCAATCTTAGTCCTTCATTGTTGCCGAGTGTATCTTTCACTTGAAATTATCCTAACCATGAGTGCTACCCTAGCTTTTATTTTTGGCTTTGAGCTCGAGCCTCAATTCGACAAGCCCCATCTAGCCACCTCACTACAAAACTTTTGGGGCCGTAGATGGAACCTTATGGTCACAGATATTCTACGCTCTACGGTGTATAATCCAGTACGACGTATATTTAGTCGTATAATCAAACAAAAGTGGACTCAATATCCAGGTGTCATTATCACGTTTGTTGTCTCAGGTTTTATGCATGAATTGATTTTTTATCATCTCTTACGTGTGCTTCCCACGTGGGAAGTGACCTGGTTTTTTGTGCTACAAGGGGTAAGTGTAGCTGTTGAGATTTTCATTAAGAAGAACTTAGCCATTCGGTGGCAGTTGCCCCCAATGGTTTCGAGGCCGTTGGTGGTGGTGTTCGTGGTGGTGACTGCTACTTGGTTGTTTTTCCCTCCTTTATTAAGAAACAATTTATTTTGATAAATGTTTTAAGGAGTCCTCAATTATTTTAAATTATATAAGTGTTAAGAATGTAATAATTAAGTTAGAATAAGTTAACTACCTCTAGGTATCTTGAAGATTTGTTTGGGACTCTTGGTGTATTACTTAAGAGGTCTTGAGTTCGAATTCACATGACTATTTATAAGAGTAGCCATTGGAAACTTAGCTAACAGTTAATTTCAGGACCTTGAAGATTAGTTGAGGTGCGTGCAAGCTGGCTTGAACATCCCGAATACCAAAAAAAAAAAAAAAAAAAAAAAAGGCTAGAATAAGGTTTAATTGAAAGTGTTTTTGCCCAAGAAAGATAGAAATTATTGTGCCATAAGTTATCAATAAATGCGTGCACTTTCTTTCCTACAGTCAATCTTTTATGTTCTTAATGTTTAATTTTAAAAGGTAAAATACATTATTACCTCTATTTACTAGAAAATTTAACTTCATTGATTTCATAAATAACCACGTTACTTTTATCTTTGTTAACTTTAACATCTCACTTTTCAAATTGAGGGTGAGATTTTTAGTTTCCAAAATCAAAAGGGTGAGATTGTCTTGGATTTTAAGTTTAAGGTTTACGCATAAATACAACTTCTCTCTCTTGATTTCAAAAACTATCAATATCATTTCTAATTATCAAAGTTGGACATTAATATAATATTTGTGAGTTAAACATGAATTCTGGTACATCTATTTGGTTGGACTACAAAAATAAGTCCACCAGTGCAACCAAATTTATTATGACTAAGGAAAGTTGGATGGGTAATTTTCAAATGGTGATTGATAAGGAAGATTAAAAATGCCTTGAACAGAATAGCGATGCATGTTTATTTTGTAAGAATGGAGGTTGTATTTTTCAAGTATAATAGGCAAAGAAATGTAATAAAATATTTGAGAAGAGACGGTGAAAAGTGAAAATATATAAAATAATAGTTGAATAGACCAAATATGTAGTGTTTTTTTCCTTTTTCTTGTTGATAATTGTAACATCCCTTTGTTAACATATATAAAGTCGAGATTTTAATTTTTTAAGTGTAGTTTTATTTTGAGGTTTTATAACTATCAAAGTCAACAGTATTATGTTTATTAATTAAATATTTATTATGCTAAGACGAGATGACACTACTAGTTTCTAAAATTAAAATGGTTGAGCTGAAGCCAAGATGACAATATTAGGTTAAATAACTTAAGATTATGTTTTGTACAAAAAGCATTTTGTTCAAATAAATAAATTAAATTATGTTATGAACAAAAAACTTGTCTCATGTAAATGCATTGTCTTTAAGATCAAAATATGGCCCCACTCAAAAGATATTATGGTACAAATAATTTATCACCGTTGAAAATGTATGATGGTTTTCTAATTCAATCAAGAGCTTAACTTGATATTACAACTGATATGATCATTGATTTGACAAATTATAATTACATCAAAAGGATATTAGCTTGGTGCTTTACTTTAGGAAAAAGGAATTGCTCCATTGGTCTTTAGCTCATATCAAATATTCAACATTGCATGCCGTGCGGTCTTGGCTTGAAATGGTCCATTCCCGCCCCGAAGAATTTGAAAATGGTACTTAAAAGGTTTAAAAATAACAAACATTTTCTTTTCATTATGTTCTGTTAAGAATTTTTATCTATTAAAAAATAAAAATGATGAAAAGACTAGAATACCTATTGATCTCTAGTTTCAACGTATGCCAACAAGAGTTAGTGCCACTGTTTATCACCGAACTTCACAGAAAAATATTAAATCCGATTAAAAAATCAATCGTTAATGCAAGAAAGCTGTACAAACTGACTTAGGATGAGAATGGATACGAAAAAAAAGATTTAAAATTTAAAGATTTAAAATTTAAAAATTTATGACTATAGGTAAAATTATTATCCTACCTTTTAATAGATAGAAATTTCTAATAAAATATAATAAAAAGTATTTATTTATTATTTTTAAATCTTTTGGTATTAATTTACCTTTATGTCCATTTTGGGTAAACTTTAGACAGGTGGGAGTCGTTCGGCCAATAATTAATACACAAATCTAACCGATTCAATGCCTATAAGTTATTAACCTCTCACGTGGCGGTGTCAGAGTACTTAACCTTCCACGTGGTGGGGGGTGGGGGGCGCGGGCCATTGCTGCAGTCATTAAAGAATTTGTCGTGTCGGGTCTGATGCGGGCCATGCGGCTGTCATTAAAGAATTTGTTGTGTTCGGGTCTGGTGTAAGAGATGCTTTGCTATTATATAACAGGTGCACCTCCCACGTGGGAGGACGCGTTGTTTTTCCAACCTATATGGCATCTGTGCATGGTCATGAAGGTGGCACTTAAGACGGTTTTAACAGACAAGAGGCGGTTGCACCCGATGGTTTCGGGGCCTCTGGTGGTGGTGTCTGTGTTAGTGACCAGCGTTTGGCTGTTTTGGCCATAACTATCGAGGAATAGTGTGGATGACAGAACCCTAATAGTCCGCTTAGAAGTTTCATGATTACGCTTATGAGGATAAACTATCGTAATAAATTTGAGAGGTTTTTAATAGTAGTTTTTAAAACACTTAACATGTGCTTGATAATTTATTTTATAAAGGTTCTGACAGTTTTTAAAATGATAAATTTATATATATGCTCATAAAAATACTCGATTTTCATCGGTACCTGAGAGTTTTGTTTTTTCAATTACAAGATAATGGTTCTTTATTGATTTTCTACTTATTAGTATTTTATAATTTCAAATGTGATAAAATCTCCTTATCCTTCTTCGCCATTCTTTGCAATATCTTGAATGATTGAAAAATTGTAGTTTCACTTCTCCAAGAAAGCATTTAGAAATGAGATATTAATAAATTTTTTTTTTATGATTGCTTAAAATTATTTTATATTTAATATGGTTAGAGACGCTCATAGTATGGTTTATTTTTTGGATATAATTGGGATAGTTTTGTAATGGATATGATATTTGTGGAATAAAATTTTAAAACCAATAAAAACATCTCGATTTGGGGTATTTTATGAACCCCTAAAAAATACATTAATAAGTTTTGGAGGGTTTTTGAGCTAGCCAAAATCAGTGCATAAATAATCTGATAAGTAATGATTTTAGAATACCTCAAAATCAATCTAATTAAAACCACTCAAAACCAGTGAAAAAAAAAAAAAAAAAAAAAACTCTCAATCAAATCACCTAAGGGAGTTCTTCAATACAATAGATTTTGTCACGAACAAATTCAAGTGGTAATGCAACATTCATATAAACTAGGGACATAACAATTTTTTTTTTTAATTATTTTCTCTTACTTTAATATTTTTTTCTAGGAAATGGGAATTGCTCCATTGGTCTCTTGCTCATATTAAATATTCAACGTTGCATGTCATGTGATCTTGGCCCGAAATGGTCCATTCTTAATGATTTTGGCCCGAAATGGTCCATTCTTAATGATCTTGGCCCGAAATGGTCCATTCTTAATTTATTATCACGATTTGCCCCTATCCCGCCCAGCACAAAGAATTTAATAATAGTTAATACACAAATCTAACCAATTCAATGCCTATAAGTGATTAACCTCTCAAATTTACATTATAAATATGAATGATCAGACATATACACAAACGTCATAGAGAGAGGAGCTACGAGTAAAAGAGCCACAAAGAAATGGAAGGAGAGATCAAGAACTTCACCAAGGTATGGATTGTAGCCATTACATGTTTGAGCTATTGTTATCTAATAACATCAAGAATCCCAAAGGGTTTTTTAAGGCTCATCTCCCTCCTCCCAATCTTCTACCTCTTCATCACTCTCCCTTTAAGCCTCTCCTCTTTCCATTTCACTGGTGTCACCTCTTTCTTTCTCACATGGCTTGCCAACTTCAAACTCCTCCTCTTTGCCTTTGGTCAAGGCCCCTTATCTCAACCCAATAAACTCTTCCATTTCATCTTGGTAGCTTCTCTTCCCATCGAAATAAAACCAAACCGACCCCCCAAATCCGAAAAAGACAGAAACCCATCTCCCCAAATCTCCAATCCAATTCAAATATCACATCAAGTTTCTAACTTTATGAAACTAGTCATCAAGATTGTACTTCTAGCTATGTTACTTCTAGTCTATGACTATTGTCAATATATACATCACTATGCAATCTTAGTCCTTCATTGTTGCCAAGTGTATCTTTCACTTGAAACTATCCTAACCATGAGTGCTACCCTAGCTTGTATTTTTGGCTTTGAGGTCGAGCCACAATTCAACAAGCCCTTTCTAGCCACCTCACTACAAAACTTTTGGGGCCATAGATGGGACCTGATGGTCACAAGTATTCTCGCCCACGTATACAATCCAGTACGACATTATTTAGCCATATAATCAGACAAGAGTGGGACTCAATATATAGGTGTCACGTCACATTTTTTGTCTCAGGTTATGCATGAAGTGATTTCTATCATCTTACGTGTGCTTCCCACGGGGAAGTGACCGGTTTTTCGTTGTACAAGGGGTAACTGTAGCTGTTGAGATTTTCATTAAAAAGAACTTAGCCACCGATGGCAGTTGTCCTCGGTGGTTTCAACCGTTGGTGTTGGTGTTCGTGGTGCGACTTCTATTTGGTTGTTTTACCTCCTTTAGTAAGAAACAATATTTTGATAACGTTTTGAGGAGTACTAATTATTGCAAATTGTATAAAAAATGTGTTAAGAATGTAATAAGTTAAGTTAGAATAGGTTTAATTGAAAGTATTTGTGCCCGAGGAAGATATAAATTATTGTACCATGACTACTATTGTGACGTAAGAGTAATGATACTTAATACGTGCACTTTCTTTGCTTTCTTTCATTATGTAGTCAATCTTTTATGTTTAATGTTTAATTTTAAAAGGTAAATTACATTATTACCTCATTACGAAAAATTTCACTTCATGATTTCATAAACTAACGATGTTACCTATCTTGTTAACCTTATTTAACATCTCACTTTTAAAATTAAGGGTGAGATTTAAATTTCCAACATCAAAGATGTCTTGGATTTTAGGTTTAAGGTTTACGTATAAAGACAACTTTCCTCCTTGATTTCAAAACTAAAAATGCCATTTCTAATTATCAAAGTTGGACATTAATATAATATTGTGAGTTAAACATGAATTCTGGTACATCCATTTGGTGGACTACAAAATAAGTCCACTAATGCAACCGAATTTATTATGACTAAGGAATGTTGGATAAAAATCCCTTGAACAGAATAGCTATATATGTTATTTTATAAGAAACGTTGAATTTTTCAAGTAATAGGCAAAGAAATGTAATATATTTGAGAGAAGGGAAGGTGAAAAGGAAAAACACATAAAATAATAGTTGAACAGACCAAAATGTAAGTTTTTTTTTCTTTTTTTGTTGATAAATAACATCAATTTGTTAACCATATCGATTGAGATATAAAGTCGAGATATTAATTTTTTAATTGTAGTTTTATTTCGGGTTGTATAACTATCAAAATCAATTGTATTAGTTATTAATTAATATATTATGCTAAAACTTAGATTCGTATAGCTGGTTGAATTAATGAGATTCAATATCAGATTCGCATAAATTATCTATAAATTTCAGAGATATGTTGAGATTTTCTTATGAATTAATAAGAATAATACTTAAAATACAAGTTCTTGTATTCAAATTGACGTAATACGAAATAAATGAAATTAGCATGTAAAAGGTCGATTAAATACTATAATAAACCGAATAAAGCTGAATAAAAAAAAAATAATACCACGTAAAATTGTATATATAACATAGTTACAAAGTACTAGCAATATACAAATAACTAAAAAATTTTGTGCAAACTAATTACATATAGGGCGAGTTACCAAAGACTCTCTAGTTTATTAGAAGACGTTGGCTCTTCAATGGCAGATGCCTAGTGATTTCAAGGTTGTTTGTGGTGGTGATTGCTATGGGGTGTTGTCCTCCATTGGTTAGATATAATTTTATTGATAAAGGTTAGAGGAGCACTCCATGATTGTAAATTATAAAAAAGTGTTAAGAAGTCCGATTTGATAATTAAATTAGAATAAGGTTAAAATGATGTGTTTGTACCCCAGGAAGAAAGGCATTTTTGTACCATATCTACTATTTTAATTACACATAAGATTTTTGTGTGTAACAATACCATTTTTATCAAGTTGGACATGATATAATATTTTGTGAGCTAAACATGAATAATAAGTCCACTAATGAACTAAATTTATTATGATTAAGGAAATTGGATGGGTAATTTTTAAATGGTGATTGATAACGAAGATACAAATCCCGAACAAATAGCGATGCATGTTTATTTATAAGAATAAAGGTTAAATTTTCAGGCAGTAGGCAAAGAAATGTAAGAAAATATTTGAGAAAAGTTTTTTTTTTTTTTTTTTATAAAAGTGAAAACATCTAAAATATGTAATGTTTTTTCTTTTTTCTAGTTATAAGTAACATCAATTTGTTAAACATTAGATCGAGATAAAGTCAGAGATTTAATCTTTTAAGTGTAGTTTTATTTTGAGGTTTTATAACTACCAAATCTATTGTATTATGGATTAATTAATATTATTCTGCTAAAATTTATATTCACATAATCTGATTGAATTAATGAGATTAGATTTGATATAAAATTATCTATTAAATTTCAAAAATATGTCAAGTTTTTCTTTGAATAATAGAATAATACTAAAATAGAAAGTCTTGTACCCCAATTGACATAATAAGAAATGAATGAATGTTTGCAGTGAAAATTCCTCCCTCTGTACCTCATATTAAACACTCTGAATAATTCTAAATATAGAAATTCTTGTATACAAATGACAAATAAGAAATGAATGAATGATTGCATGTGAAAGGTCCTACTCTGTACCTCATATTAATACTCAACATTGAATGTGACGTTCTCTTGGCTTGAATGGTCCATCTTAATTATTTTCAGAAGTCGTCCCATCCTGCCGTACAAAAGAATTAATACACAACTCTAAACAGTTCAATGCGGATAAGTTAAAGTGATATTGACACAGTAATCTCTTTTTATAAACTTTTCTGCACAATAACAGTTGTAATTATTAGTATAATTTATGAGATGTGACCCAAATAAGATCTATTAAGAGTTACCACGTTATAAATCATACATTCTAATTTATTGATAAAGGTCTTGAGGAACACTCATGATTGTAAATTATATAAAAAAAGAGTGTAAGAATGTAGGAATTAATATTAAATTAGAATAAGGTTAAATTGAAAGGTGTGATCCCAGGAAGAAAGGCATTTTGTACCATATCTACACTAATTACACATAAGAGCTATCAATACAAAATGTGTGCATTTCTTTCTTCAATATTTTAGTGGTTACTGTTTAATTTTAATGGTAATTACATTATTAAAATCATGTACGGTTAAGAAAATTTCATTTGGTTGATTTTACAACTATTGACATACTTCTCTTTATTATTTAACATCCACATTGAAAATGACGGTGAAATTTTGTTCCAAAATCAAAAACCTTGATTTGCGTTTAAGGCTCACGCACAAAAACAAATTCATTCCTTTGATTTCAGAAACTATAATTTTCACTTTTAATTATCAAAGAAAAAAATTAACCGAAGATGAAATGACACTACTAGTTTCTAAAATGAAAGGGTTGAGCTGAAGCCAAGATGACAATACTAGGTTTAATAACTTTAAATTATTTTTTGTACAAAAAGCATCATGTTCAAATAAAATTTAAATTATGTTACAAAAAAACTTGTGTCATGTAAATGCATTGCCTTTAAGATCAAAATATCGCCCACTCAAAAGATTTTATGGTACAAATAATTTATCAAACGTTGAAAAATTATGTGTTTTCTAATTCAATCAAGATCTAATTTGATATTAGAACTTATATGATCATTGATTTGACAAATTGCACCGGCATCAAAAGGATATCCGCTTGGTGCTTTACTGTAGTCATGTGTACCTTGACTTGAGTTCACTTAGACAATATGTGCACACCGATTCGAGGTATCATTGGGCTTGAGCTTAACCACAATTCAATGAGCCTCACCTTGCTGAGCCATAGATGGAATCTCATGTTACAAGTATTCTAAGCACCACCGTATACTCTCCTTATGCTGGGCTTTTATTCACTTGGTGATGTTGTTTTTCCATCCTACATGGCATGTGTGCATGACATCGAGGTGGCGGTTAAGTTGGTTTTTGTAGATGCAAAAAATTACCGTCATGAAAATAGGGTGTGATCCCGTGAGGTTGAGGTCACTGATAATCCGTTAGACCTGCACACATGAAAGGGCAAGCGTGAAGCTTCCGGAAAACACCGAGGTGGTGTTTGCCGTAGGCACTCCGACGCTCAAGTCAGCAAGGCTGAAAGAGATTTAATAAGAATTAAGGAGAAGAAGAATTACCAGGAGTCTTGTCGGAGGCTAGGACTACGGCGGAGGCGTCGGGTTCTTGGGAGCAAGAACTTAGGAGCAAATAGATGGTTTTGAGGTAGTGTAGATTGACTGTGGAGATTTTTTCTTAATGAGAGGGCGAGCCTCTGTTTTATAATGAACCCAATGGGTTGGAACCTAGTAGGACATTGAGTCCTCTTTTGAGAGATAATCCCTATCATAAAAGAGATATGATTTCTTAACCTTATCAGATTAAGTTAATAGTTTAAATAAGAGTTGGAATCTTAGTAGGACACTAAGTCCTTTGGGAGATAATCCCTATCATGAAGAGATATGATTTCTTGACCTTATCAGATCAAGTTTAATAGTTTGAGTGAGATTTGAAATCTTAGTAGAAGAGGAAACAGAATGAGATTTGATTTCCTATTTATACTCTGTTGCAGGCTAATGGGTTGAAACCCAATTTAGCTTAACTTATAGGATAGCCCAACTCATAGAGTGGGTAAGTCGCAAGGTGATTTAAGCGTAGGCCCAATCGAGATTGGGTTGGCCAGGGCCGTGACATGTTTATTCGTTATTGGGCTCGTCAAGCCCAAGACGATTTTTGGCCCTAACAGTTAGCCCCCCACTCTCTAAGTTAAAGAGTATTTAGCTTAGAGAGTAGATTAAATCGAATGAGTGCAGATTGAGCGGATTAGTGATAGCAGCTCGTGTAGGTCGGATGGATGTTGTGTGGATTGGGTCGATGACTTGTCGATTTGAGGTGCAAGAACCCTTCAACCAGTCTAGCTGACTGAATGTGTAGCTTTATGGACCGGGTAGGGCCAATTGAAGGTGCAAATCCGTGGATGAGCAGGGTCGATCCGAAGGTGTAAACTGGATTGGCAGGGCCGATCCGAAGGTGTACGTACGTTTATCAGGCGGCCGATTTGAAGGTGTCCGTATGTTTATCGGGCAGGCTGATTTGAAGGTGTCGTCCGTTTATCGGGCCGGCCGATTTGAAGGTGTCCGGACGTTTATCGGGCTGGGATTTGAAGGTGTCCGTACGTTTATCGGGAGGCCGATTTGAAGGTGTCCGTCCGTTTATCAGGCCGGTCGATTTGAAGGTGTCGTACGTTTATCGGGCCGACCGATTTGAAGGTGTCCGTACGTTTATCGGGCTGGCCGATTTGAAGGTGTCGTACGTTTATCGGCAGGCCGATTTGAAGGTGGTCCGTAGTTTATCGGGCAGGCCGATTTGAAGGTGTCGACGTTTATCGGCCGGTCGATTTGAAGGTGTCATAAGTTTATCGGGCCGGTCGATTTGAAGGTGTCCATACGTTTATCGGGCAGGCCGATTTGAAGGTGTCGTACGTTTATCGGGCCGGCCGATTTGAAGGTGTATGCCAAGTAGAGCTGTATGGAGCTTGCGGTCAAGTCCTCGTGATCGACTTGTAGTTGAAACCTTTGAGGGCTTGTGGCTAGTCGACGTGATCGACTTGTAGTGAAAACATTCGATGAAGCTGGAGCAGTGACATGCATGATGCATGTTTTAAGCAAATAGTTGAATTGAGAGTTAATATCCCTGATGTGTATTTGTATGGACTGAATAAAGAGTGAGCTAAATGGAAAAATACGTGCATGTATTAAGTAATGGGTCAAATAGAGAAAGATTTAACCAAATAGAGTGGTAGTTAAAAGGAGACACTGAACATACCTTTCCCCTTCAAGTGCTGCCACTCAAGCTTGCTGGATCGAGTAGGGTAGGATAAACTGAGGTTGGAGCTTTGTTGCTTTTAAGCTTCTGCGTGTGCCTGTGTAGCTACTACTTGCTTGTTGGTCCAACCGGTTGTGTTGTTTATTAGCTAATGCTTCTGCTACATTGGGCCTGTGCGTTGTTTGAGCTGTTCGGAGCTATAGCATTTGTTGTTGCTCCTGTTTTGTATGCTGGTGTTGTGCATATCCAAAAATGCCATAGCATATGGTGATGATCTTGTACCATATTGCTGAGGAGACTGCAACTACTTAGGTTGTAGCGTGTTTGTTCCCACTATCCTTTTGAAAATGAGTCGGATCGGAGATGAGGCTTGCTGACACTTGGCGTAAATGATTCTACATTCTTCCCACTCAGCTTGACTGAGCCGTGTCTAGTGGGGACATCTGTTGACTAATGCTCATGAGAGTACGCCTTGTGGACTACGTGACGTCTTGCACTTGGGGTTGTGTGAAAGTTTGAAAATTTTGCTAAGAGATGATTAGATTTGAGAACAACTGAGTGGGAAAACAAAGGGTCATGTTTTCCAATGTCCCTTGAATGGCTGCCACTTGTTCAGTTTGAAAAAGTTTGCTATTATGGTGGTTGACTTTTTGGAGACTTTTCAAAGCTTTTTTCTTGCCTCTTCGTTTTTCCATTTTCTTTCCTGCACCCTTCCCTTATACTCTAGTTGATAAAACATTTGGAAGGTGTCTTGTTCAGGAAAATTCTTCCCGTTTTTCATTGGTTTCTCTCACGGCTTCCACAATAAAGCTCTTCTTTCCTTTTGATTTCGTTTGCCTTCCATTCTCTCTGTTCTGCTCTAGTTTGTAGAGAAATTTAGGTAGTTTGAGTAAGGTTTCATGGGGCTTTTTGGTAAGAAGAATTGGTTTTTGGTTTTTTCCTCGAGTTTTTCGAATTTACTGAGCTCTGGAGAAGGACGATGAGGTTTGGGTTTAAAGTTGTGGCAAACTCTGTGAAGTTGAATTGGGATTGGGATTAAGAATGGTTGAGTTTTAGTTACCTCCCAAAAAGAAATTAAACATATACAAAAGTAAGCAGTATTCCAACTAATGCATAAACAAATTATGAACACAGGAGATGTGTTTTGATGCTTCAAGTTATCACATTTCATGCTTAATAGACATAATATGATAGTGAATGATTCATAGATACTTTCAATGGGTTTAAAATGAAGAAAAATACAAAAAATTTTCTTATCGTGATGAGATTTTCGAGTTAACGATGCCAATTGGGTGAGTTTTGTGTCCTTTCATGTTGTAAGTTGTCGTTGGCAGATGATTGTCAGGGCCCACGGTGGGCACCAAACTGTAGATGCAAAAAATCTACCGCATGAAAAAGGGTGTGATCTCGTGAGGTTGAGGGCACTGACAATCGTTAGACCTGCACACATGAAAAGGCAAGTGTGAAGCTTCCGGAAAACACGAGGGGGTGTTTGCCGTAGGCACTCCGACGCTCAAGTCAGCAAGGCTGAAAGAGATTTAATAAGAATTAAGGAGAAGAAGAATTACCAGGAGTCTTGTCGGAGGCTAGGACTACGGCGGAGGCGTCGGGTTCTTGGGAGCAAGAACTTAGGAGCAAATAGATGGTTTTGAGTGGTGTAGATTGACTGTGAGAGATTGCATGCTTAATGAGAGGGCAAGCCTCTGTTTTTATAGTGAACCTAAGGGGTTGGAATCCTAGTAGGACATTGAGTCCTCTTTTGGGAGATAATCCCTATCATAAAAGAGATATGATTTCTTAACCTTATCAGATTAAGTTTAATAGTTTAAATAAGAGTTGGAATCTTAGTAGGACACTAAGTCCTATTTTGGGAGATAATCTCTATCATGAAAGAGATATGATTTCTTGACCTTATCAGATCAAGTTTAATAGTTTGAGTGAGATTTGAAATCTTAGTAGAAGAGGAAATAGAATAAGATTCTGATTTCCTATTTATACTCTGTTGCAGGCTAATGGGTTGAAACCCAGTTTAGCTTAACTTAGGATAGCCCAACTCATAAAGTGGGTAAGTCGCAAGGTGATTTTAAGCGTAGGCTCAATCAAGATTGGGTTGAGGCCTGAGGCCGTGACATGTTTATTTCGTTATTGGGTCTCATCAAGCCCAAGACGATTTTTGGCCCTAACAGTTTTGACAGACAAGTGGCGGTTGCACCCGGTGGTTTCGGGTGGTGGTGGTGTTTGTGTCAGTGACCAGCGTTTGATTGTTTTGGCCGCAACTATTGAGAAGTGCGGGGATGACAAGTAAGTACCGTAAGAGAGTTTGTCAAGAACAAGTTCATACAAAATTCGTTAAAACTAAGACATGAATTCTTTTTTTTTATTTTTTTTTTCCTTTTACTTTAATATTTTTTTCTAGGAATTGGGAAGTGATCTCATGTCTTTTTTTCTCGCTTTTCAAATTGAGGGTGAGATTTTTAGATCCCAAAATCAAAAGGGTGAGCTTGTCTTGGATTTTAAGTTCAAGGTTTACGCATAAAGATAACTTCACCCTCTTGATTTCAAAAACTAACAATACCATTTCTAATTATCAAAGTTGGACATTGATATAATAATTTTTGTGAGCTAAACATGAATAATAAGTCCACTAATGCAACCAAATTTATTATGATTAAGGAAAATTGGATGGCTAATTTTTAAATGGTGATTGATAAGGAAGATTAAAAATCCCTTGAACTAAATAGTGATGCATGTTTATTTTATAAGAATGAAGGTTAAATTTTTCAGGTAATAGGCAAAGAAATGTAAGAAAATATTTGAGAAAAGTTTTTTTTATAAGAGTGAAAACATCTAAAATATGTAATGTTTTTTTCTTTTTGTCTAGTTTATAAGTAACATCAATTTGTTAACCATATAGATTGAGATATAAAGTCAGATATTCTAATTTTTTAAGTGTAGTTTTATTTCAAGGTTTTATAACTACCAAAATATATTGTATTATGTTTATTAATTAATATTTATTCTGCTAAAATTTATATTCACATAATATGATTGAATTAATGAGATTAGACTTGTACATAAATTATCTATTAAATTTCAAAAATATGTTAAGTTTTTCTTATGAACTAATAAGAATAATACTAAACATAGAAATTCTTGTATACAAATTGACATAATAAAAAATGAATGAATGATTGCATGTGAAAGGTCTCTCTACCTCTGTACCTCAGATTAAATGTTCAACATTGAATGTGATCTTATCTTGGCTAGAAATTAATTTATCTTCAGAAGTCGTCCCAATCCTGCAGTAGAAATTAATAATAATTAATACACAACTCTTAACCAATTCAATGTTGACAAGTTAGAATAATGCTACACTTATAACCTCTTCTCACAACCCTAACGTGGCAGTTCGCAATTGGTCAATCATAATCTATTGGATGAGACCCAGATAGGACCCATTGTAAGTTGACCAATTACGAGCTAGCATGTCAGGGTTGTGAGAAGAAATTTATGAAAAGAGGTTATGGGTGTAGCATTTTCCTATAAGTTATTAACCCCTTAAATTTAAGTGATCAGAGATCTAATCAAACATAGAGAGAGGAGCTACAAAGAGAAGACAAAGAAATGGAAGGAGAGATCAAGAACTTAGCCAAGGTATGGATTGTAGTCATTACATGTTTGAGCTATTGTTATTTGATAACGTCAAGAATCCCAAAGGGTATTTTAAGGCTCATCTCCCTCCTCCCAATCTTCTACCTCTTCATTACTCTCCCTTCAAGCCTCTCCGCTGTCAATCTCACTGGTTTCACCTCTTTCTTTCTCGCATGGCTTGCCAACTTCAAACTCCTCCTCTTTGCCTTTGGTCAAGGCCCCTTATCTCAACCCAATAAACTCTTCCATTTAATCTTGGCAGCTTCTCTTCCCATCAAAATAAAACCAAACCCAACTCCCAAATCCAAAAATGACATAAACCCATCTCCCCAAATCTCCAATCCATTCGAAAAATCACATCAAGTTTCTAACTTTATCAAAATAGTGATCAAAATTGTACTTGTAGTTATGTTACTTCTAGTCTACGGCTATCGTCAATATATACATCACAAGGCAATCTTAGTCCTTGATTTTTACCGAGTGTGTCTTTCACTTGAAATTGGCCTGGCAATGTGTGCCACCCTAGCTCATATTTTTGGCTTTGAGGTCGAGCCACAATTCAATAAACCGCATTTAGCCACCTCACTACAAAACTTTTGGGGTCGTAGATGGAACCTTATGGTCACAGATATTCTACGCCTTACCGTATATAATCCAGTACGACGTATATTTGGCCGTATAATCAGAGAAAAGTGGACTCAATATCCAGGTGTCATTATTACATTTGTTGTCTCGGGTTTTATGCATGAGATGGTTTTTTATCATCTTTTACGTGTGCATCCCACGTGGGAAGCGATGTGGTTTTTTGTCCTACAAGGGGTAAGTGTAACTGTTGAGATTTTCATTAAGAAGAACTTAGCCACTCAGTGGCAATTGCCCTCGGTGGTTTCAAGGCCGTTGGTGGTGGTGTTCCTGGTGGTGACTGTTATCTGGTTGTTTTTCCCTCCTTTGGTAAGAAACAATGCTTTTTATAAAAGTTATGAAGAGTACTTAATTATTGTAAATTATATAAAAAGAGTGTTAAGAATGTAATAATTAAGCCAAGAGTAAGGTTTAATTGGAAGTGTTTGCGCCCAAGAAAGATAGATATTATTGTACCATAAGTACTATTGTGCACATAAGAGTTATAGATAATACATGAACTTTCATAAGTACTATTGTACACATAAGAGTTATCGATAATACGTGCCCAAGAAAGATGGATATTATTGTACCATAAGTACTATTGTACTATTGTGCATGTAAGAGTTATTGATACTTAATAGGTGCACTTTCTTTCCTTTCTTTCATTATGTAGTCAATCTTTTACATTATTATTTATTACATCTATTTACAAAAAATTTCGCTTCATTGATTTCATAAATTAACGACGTTAGTTCTATCTCTATTAACTTTATTTAACATTTCACTTTTAAAATTGAGGGTGATATTTTTTAGTTTTCAAAATCAAAAGGGTGAGATTGTCTTGGACTTAGGTTTAAGGAATTTAGGCATAAAGACAACTTCACTCTCTTGATTTCAAAAACTAACAATAACTTTTCTAATTATAAAAGTTGGAAATTAATAATTTTTGTGGGCTAAACAATTAATTCTGGTACATCAATTTGGTTGGACTACAAAAATAAGTCCACTTAGGCAACCAAATTTACAAAAATACCGAGTCCACTAATGCAACCAAATTTATTATGATTGGATGGGTAATTTTCGAATGGTGATTTGATAAGGAAGATTAAAAATCCCTTGAATACCGATGCATGTTTATTTTATAAGAATGAATGTTGAATTTTTCAAGTAATAGGGAAAGAAATGTAATAAAATATTTGAGAAGAGAAGGTGAAAAGTGGAAACATATAAAATAATAGTTGAATATACCAAATATGTAATTATTTTTTCTTTTTCATGTTGATAAGTAACATCAATTTGTTAACAGATATAAAGTTGAGATTCTAATTTTTTAAGTGTAGTTTTATTTTGGGGTTATATAACTATCAAAGTCAATTGTATTATGTTTATTAATTAATACTTATTATGCTAAAACTTAGATTCGTATAATTTGGTTGAATTAATGAGATTCAATTATCAAATTTGTATATAATTATCTACTAAATTTAAGAGGTATGTTGAGATTTTCTCATGAATTAATAAGAATGGGTCCGTTTGTTTAATTATTTTTGCACTATCCTATCCCTATTCTACCAAAAATACACATTTATTTCCCTATTATGAAAATCCTATTTTATTTTATTCAATTATTTTTAAACCCCCTAAGTTTGTTAATTTAACTAAACACAAAAAAAAAAAGTTTAAAAATTGACAAAAACACCCCCACCCACCCACATTTTTCAAATTCCCGCCACCACTGCCAGAAGGTGGCCGAAATTTGGTATAATAGCGTACTACCAGTTGGATCTAGCCGATAGTACACCGATCTATCATTTTTTGACTAGATCCGCCGTGGACTAGGCCAGAAAAGGCTAGATCTTTGGCCGTAGCTGGTCGTCAATGACGGCCAAGATTTGGTCGTCGTTGATGACCAAACATGGCTAGATCATCGGTGGATCTGGCTAGAAAATGTCATCTCGATGCACAACCGGCTAGATCCAGTTGGTCGTACATCGATACAATGACTCTGGCCACCCTCCGGTGGTGGTGGCCAATTGCCAGTATTTAATGGATGGGTGGGGGTATTTTTGTAATTTTTAATGTTTTTATTATAAGGGTGTTTAGTAAATTAACAAACCTATAAGGTGTTTTTCTTAATTTTTAAATCCTACCTTGTTATTCCCACACAACTCTTACTTTTTCAAAAATGTTTTCCAAAATATTAAAATAAACGAACCTAATAATACTTAAAATACAAGTTCTTGTATACAAATTAAGGTAATGCAAAATGAATGAATGATTGCATGTAAAAGATCAATTAAATAACTATTTAATAAGCATGAATAAATGGTGAAAATAAAAAAATAATGCCACGTAAAATTGTATACATAACATTAGTTACAAAGTACTATCAAATATACAAATAACTAAAACTTATTTGTACAAACTAATTTATACATAGGACGAGTATACCGAAGACTCTCTTGTTTATTAAGAAGACCTTGGCTCTTCAGTGGCAGATGCCCTTGGTGGTTTCAAGGTTGTTCTTCAGTGGCAGATGCCCTTGGTGGTTTCAAGGTTGTTTGTGGTGGTGATTGCTATTTGGTTGTTTTTCCCTCCACTAGTAAGAAATAATTTTATCGATAAAGGTCTAGAGGAGCACACCATGATTGTAAATTATATAAAAAAGAGTGTTAAGAATGTACGGATTTAATAATTAAATTAGAATAAGGTTAAATTGAGGAAGAAAGGCATTATTGTACCATAACTACTATTTTATTTACAAATAAGAGTTATCAATACCTAAAAATGTGCACTTCTTCAATATTTTATGAGGTTATTGTTTAATTTTAAATGTTAAATTACATTATTAGCCCCATTTACGGTATAAGAAAATTTTATTTGGTTGATTTTATAAACTAACGACATTACTTCTTCCTTGGTTAATTTAACTTCTCACATTGAAAATTGACGATGAGATTTTTAGTTTCCAAAATCAAAAACCTTGACTTTGGGTTTAAGGCTCACGCATAAAAACAACTTCATTCCCTTGATTTCAGGAACTAACATTTTCACTCCTAATTATCAAATAAAAAAATTAACCAAAGACGAGATGACACTACTAGTTTCTAAAATCAAAAGGGTTGAGCTGAAGCCAAGATGACAATACTAGGTTTAATAACTTTAAATTATTTTTTGTACAAAAAGCATCATGTTCAAATAAAATTTAAATTATGTTACAAAAAAACTTGTGTCATGTAAATGCATTGCCTTTAAGATCAAAATAACGCCCCACTCAAAAGATTTTATGGTACAAATAATTTATCAAACGTTGAAAATATATTATGTTTTTCTAATTCAATCAAGATCTGATCAGTGATTTGACAAATTATATTTGCATCAAAGGGGGCGTTTGGTTGGGGGTAATGTGGGATTACTAGAGTTATGTCATCTTATATTACTTGATTATCGTGTTTGGTTGTCAAGTAATATAAGATACCGGTAATCTTTAAATACTAATAATAGTTACTGTTGGTAATATTAGAAGTAATTTGATTATCTTTATTTTCTTAGGTATTGTAAGATTACCAAGGTAATCTCTTTTTGTTACAATTCTATCCCTTATTAATAAAATTTTAGGACAATAATGCCCCTATTTTTAAATTTATTTACATGAATATGACTTTACTATTTCACCTCAATTAATTAATTTTTTGGACAAAATTACCTTTGAATTCAAAACAAATTGCAGCCCACCCAAGCCACCACCCCCACCCACCTGTCGCCGGCAACCATTGTCGCCGCCACCGTCTGAACAGCGCATGGAAGGCTAAAAATGGCTGTCGTCCGTTGATATGGCCATTTCTGACCAGATACCTGGCCAGATCTCTGGCCAGAAATGACCATACGGCGCACGGAAGCCATTTCCTGCCTTCCATGCACCGTTAGGTTGTTGGTTGCCGGCGGCCTGCAGTGGCTGGGTTGATAGGGGTGCTTTGTTGATTTTCCAAACTTTTATTATGGAGTTGTTTTTGCTAAGTTTTTAAATACAGGGGGCTTATAATAATCCAAATAATAATCAATATTAAAAAATAATATTTAATTAGAGGACAATTCAATAATTTAAATAATATACCCTCCAATTTATTCCTCCCAACCAAACATATTAATATAACATACCCACCAATTAACCAAATACATTTTTCTAAAAATTCTCATTAATCTGCAAGGTAATCTAACTTTCTAGTAATTTAATATTTTCAATAATCTAATATTTTCAGTAATCCAACATTCTCTGAACTAAATGCCCCAAAAGAATATCAGCTTGATGCTTGACTGTAGTTAAATGTACCTTCAACTTGAGATCACTTCAGCCATATGTGAAGGCAGCCTCGAACAAATTCTTGGGCTTGAGCTTGAACCACAATTCAATGAGCCCCACCTTGCTGGGCCGTAGGTGGAATCTAATTGTGACAAGCATTCTACGCCCCACCCTATACTCTCCTATATGCCAGGCTTCTATTCTACTGCCATTTGTCATTAAAGCATTTGTCATGTCAGTCGGGAGGTGATGTTGTTTTTTCATCCTACATGGCATGTGTGCATGATCATCGAGGTGGCGGTTAAGATGGTTTTAACAGACAAGTGGCTGTTGCACCCGGTGGTTTCCGGGCCTCTGGTGGTGGTGTTTGCGTCAGTGACCAACGTTTGGCTGTTTTGGCCGCAACTAACGACGTTACTTCTATTTCTATTAACTTTATTTAACATTTCACTTCCAAAATTGAGAGTGAAATTTTTAGTTTCTAAAATCAAAAGGGTGAGATTCTCTTGGATTTTAGGTTTAAGGTTTAAGGTTTATACTATACGCACAAGCCATTCTCATTAACTTCCTCTCACAAACGTAATGTATCAGTTAATAATTGGTCAGTTCACAATGAGTCATATTTACTCAAATACGAACTGATCAATTATAAGCTGTCACGTCAACATTTATGAAAAAAGTTTGTGAGAAGTGTTTGTCAGTTTATCTTTATTCTTAGGCATAATACCGTTTCAAACTATCAAAGTTGGATATTAATATAATATTTGCGGGCTAAACATGAATTCTGGTACATCAATTGGTTGGACTATAAAAATAAGTCCACTAGTGCAACGAAATTTATTATGACTAAGGAAAGTTGGATAGGTAATTTTCAAATGGTGATTGCTAAGGAAGATTAAAATTCCCTTGAATAGAGCGATGAATGTTTATTTTGTAAGAAGGAAGGTTGAATTTTCAAGTAATAGACCAAGAAATGTAACAAAATATTTGAGAAGAGAAGGTAAAAACATATAAAATAATAGCAGTTTGAGGGTGTCGTGCGAGAGGCAGAATTGATATTGTTTTCAGCATATAATTGATGCTTTCTATAGCAGGGACAAAATTGTAATTTTGGGTTTTCATATTCAGTTCAAAACCGGGTACTCTCTTGAACCAAACCAAAAAT